CCCCTGTTTGACTGAGGTAATTGCAGCTCATTTTGTTTGTTTATATTGTTGGCTGTGTCACTTCCCTGCTGAGTAAAGTGGACATCAGCCCCTGTTTGAACACACATTACTTACCAGTTAGTTAGTAATCCGGCTCATGCTTCGGGTGCAGTGCTAGAGAAGAATCACCCTTGTTAAATCATCAAAAGCTTTAAAAGAGCTAGCTTTAAAAGAAATCTGGTTTTTGAGGCTTTTTAAAAAGAGAAAGGAGGAAATATCTTTTTGGCTGCCAAACAGACTTGTGTTTTTTAGATGTATGACCCGCAGCTGATTTCCTCTTGTGTCCAATATGGGGATACAGCTGTGGTTGGCTTAGCAATCAAGATACTCTCCAGAAAACATATGGGATTAACCCAGTTTTAGTTTGAATTTCAAAGGTTCCCAAAGAGGATAAAGCCCACGAGAATGATCATGAATCTCATATTTCTTTGCTGTTTGAAGGGAATGCTTCTTTTTGGGAAGCAGTGACGGATGTTGCATGGAAACTTTAATCTTCGTCCAGCCTGTACCGAGGCCTGGACACGAAGTCCTTCACAAACCTTTTGTCAACCTTTGAACTTCTCTTTCAAGCTTTTATTCTCCACACAACTACTTCCTGCACGACTTTCCAGGTGAACAACATGAAATCCTTTGAAGAACGATTGTCCAGAGGTGTGCAACTCTTTGTGTCTTGCCCTCTGTTGTGGCAGGCCTTTCGGCCACTTTTGAGTGTTACTCTTCTGAACAACTTAAAACACTTTAGCCCTCAGATGTGGTGACATCATCTTGAATGACAGGGCTGCAAGATTACAGCCAAAGTGATAATCACAATTATTTTGATCAATTTTGAGATTATGATTAATTATCACGATTATTCATTGATTTTTAGGGACAATTTATTTTTGCATTGTGACATTTAAATAAACAGAGCACTGCTTTTACATCCATGTTGTGCTAAATTCCTGCTGATGTACCAATCTTTGCATTAAGATAAGACTGGTCCTTTTTCACAGTGCATCTATTAGATGCAAAATATATATCTTACCCTAAGTAAAATCAACAGAGCACTGCTTTTACTTTCATGTTGTGCTACATTCCTCCTAATTAACAAATCTTTGCATCAGAATAAGACTTAAAGTATTCAAATAAAAACACAAGACATTTGTGCTCTAAAAAAAGGATCAGCACTCAGTGAAAAACCTCCTAAGCCCTATGATAAGCTATTATGGCAAGGCTTAACTATACAGACCAGTGAGCAGTGATAACTAACATATCTTTGGGGTCATCGGGTCACCAGTGTTTTGTCTAGTTGGTCCCACGACACCTCCAGGAGACTAGACAGTGACCTCTGGCGTCCCAGAGACACTCCCCTAATGTCAGGTCTCACTGCTCCCCGCACCAACCCAATAACCTCCTTTACCTTACTTACACATGGCTTTCTCAGCCCAAACAGCACCGCCACCTTCAACCAAACCCAGGTTCCGTACATGCGAGCTCCAGGTAGAAACAGTGCTGATGCTACCTTTCCTAGCACATTCACCATACTCTATCTCACACGCTACATAGCATAACTCCAATATAAGCTAAAGTTAAAGGAGATAGATAAAGTTCATCTCCTAGAAGCAAAATATCCCCTGAGACTGTGTGTCCTTATTCAAGGACATCACATTTTGGGTGGACTGGACCTTACACTTCATTCTACTTAACTTTAGTCTCTATATACAGACTCTACATTCAGTGAACGTAGAGTCTGTAGGCAAACCCCGGAGATCTTGCCTCTGGAAGAAAAGCGGAAGAGCCCTGGTTTCCGGTTGTAGGCTGTTTGTAGTCCATGATATTGACCAATCACGTTTGAGCCGGCTGCAGTTGTTGCCAGTTTAAACGGTCCGTGCGGTGAACTAACGAGGTGGAACATAATTGGCGTCACTGCAAACTCTGAATCCATCGCAGTGGTTCATCATATTTACTTATATATAAATGGAAGTCGGAAACGGAAATTCACCTCCTCTGCCCAAATCAAACCGGAAAGCCAAAAAATCGGGGGTCTGCCCCCAGAGGCTGTATCGCCTTCTGCTGGAAGTCAGACGCTGAATACAGCCGATGGGTTCTGAGAATGACTTAACTTTGACCTGTTGTCCTAGTTCATGGACACATTTTTTGTGCCATCTAGTGGTAGTAAGAGCACAATACACTCATCTAAAACAAAGATGGCAGCCATCTCTGCCAAGTAAGTCTGCAGCCGACCTCGACATGAAAGTGGACAAGATCCAAAACCTGATCAGATTTTATGGTTGAAACTTGTTTACTTATGGTTAAAACATCTACAGTTTGATATGACGTACAAACTTTACCAATTTTAGCAACAGTAACAAGCTAAGACATTGTTTATTAGAAAGTACTAGTTTGAAGACGTTGGATATTTTGACTTTATTATCATTGACAGTGTTAAGGTTTTTATATTTAACAGGTCCTACTAATCCCAAATGGCTAGGATATACTTAAAATTGCACACCAAACAACAGTTTGGGTCTCAGGAGGATATAATTAAAGTTGTACCCAAAATATAGTCTAACCGAAAATAAATATGCCATCACAGTGCAACCAAATGAGAACAGTGTTTATTGAGCAGACATATTTGGTCAAGTGGAATATGATTGCATTGGTTATTTTAGTCTGTCTTTGAGGGCTGGATGAATATGGTGATGCACTGTGCAACATTGCTATTATATGCCTGACTCTATTGTGCATACTGTTTGTGTAGTTTGGCGAGCACCTTAATAGCACAGCCATTTAGCCGTATTTCCATTTGTTGCAGTAAATGGTTATATCCAGGACTAGAGTATTATGACTGAAGAGTTACTCACAATTAACATCACTTGACCTAAATCTGAAGTACTTCCAAAAAATGAATCATGATCAGTTTTTAGAGACTTGATCCTCGCCTTCTGCTCCAGACATTTGATTTTGGTTTTGCCCTTCCGCAGCCGCAAGATTCAGAATAGTTTTCACAGGCTGCCGCTTTGTGTGCACCCTGCAGAAGCAGCCTGTACAAAACTTTCCTGAATGTGTTTCAGTTTAAGAGGCACTTGATTTGTCATAATGATAAGCAAAGCACGCATTTCAATTCATGTCAATATCGCAGTCGATCATGTTAATTTAATTGTGTGAGGCCAAAGTCATGATCAAGATTAATATTCGCTAAGTTGTGCAGCCTTATTGTATTGTTTTGGACATTCCTCTGCTTTAGCGTGCTCTCTGCATTGGTATGTTTTAATTAACAGAAACTAATTCAGTGTCTGAGATATCGAAATGAATTGCGAGGACACCAGTGGAAGTGTTGAAGTCTTTTATTAACAAGACGTCTGCCTGACTTTCCCTTTATAGCTCCTTTTTATTGGCACTCTAGCCACAGCCTGTGGTCTCAGTCATGCTGCTCCGTCTGTCGAACGTGGTTTTCATGCACCACTAAAACCAACAAACTACCATCGGCACATGTTGAAATACCCCATTAAATACAGGAGGTCCCTTTTATGCCCTTGTTAGCTTATTACGCGCTGTGGATAAATGGAGAGTCTGGGGCCACACTGAGAGCACAGGGCAAGCGCCACCACAGACCGTTTGAAGTTGAAAGAAATGCAGTTGTGGTGGCGCAGGAGTCATCTCTGAATTTCATCTTCAAAGAAAAGAAAGAGACTTTTAAGAGACAGAGTGCTTGAAAATGAAGACATCTCCAGCTGGGAGGAGAGAGGGAGGAAGAGTAAACAAAATATGTCAGACAGTAGTATCGCCGCTCGGCGTACTACTGAACTCTTGTTGTACCCTGCGTGACGCCACACATGCAACGCAGACAAACAGATGCTTCATGTGCATATCTCAGGGGATTAAGGAACAGGCCTAGACCTTAGATGTACAGTAAATGGAGACGCAGCACGCTCTCCGAGTCTTCCTTTGGTGATAGCAGGGGTGTGAAACCTCAAACAACTTCTCCCCTCCCCTTTAACACTGCCTGCCTACTTCATCTCCACAGCTCCTCGCTGGGTCTGTACCGTTTACTGGGCTTCACAGGAAGCCTGCTGGGCCTGCTACAATTCAGACATGCTCAGTGAGGCCGTGGGAGCATTAGGGACAGCCTCTGTTGTCTGTGGGAGAAGAGGGAGGAGAGCTTGAGAGAGAGACACAGAGGGAGCAGAGGGAATTGTGTCTATGATTCCCACATTCTGCTTGAAGCCACTGATCCGGTTTCTTATATTTCATCCTATGCTATATATACATCCCGTTTTGTTTGCCTCCCAAATGAGCAGCCTTTTAAGGGCGAATTAGCATAATTGGCTTCTAACTTTGCTAATTTAACTTCAGTAGGAGTTTAATAGAGGAGCTTAAGAGAGGAGTTTAATGATATGTTGCAGAGAGAGCGTGGAGAGGAAACTGAGAGAAGCAGTAGACTGCAGTGCCAGTTTCTGACCTTAAATGTGAAGTGAAAGAGTAAAAGATAAAAAGTGGAAAAGACAATTTCATCCTGCCAGTTGTTTTTCTTTTTTCTTTTTTTTTTCGTCTAACCTCCATCCCTATCTGGAAATATCGTAAAGGCTGAGTTCCTCATAAACTGTGCGAGAGCATCTATTATTGATGCTCTGTCTGTGTGGCTGTGGTCCTACTGCAGAAAGGCCCTTTGGGGGACAGCACATCTCCTCACAGGAACAAGAGTGAGCTTTTACTCTTTCTCAGCGGCGCAGTCCACAGTCCTTAGTCATGCCCTGCTGCACCATGTGTCTGAGGCTTCCCTGCCTTTGTTTCAGGGTTTTTCTGTCTGAAACATTATTGGTGTGTTTGAATTATTGAGGATATTACAGAGAAGTTTTGACCCATACCACTGACCCCTTTGTCGGCATGCCAGAAACATTTTATAAGCATCTCTGGTATTTGCAGTGTGATTTTTAATTTCATTCAAGTCTTTAATCTAATTTGTTATTTTTTCTTTACAGGAAGTAGTCCAGACAAGGCTAAACAGCGAGGGGAAGCAATCAAACCAAACCACTATGGGACCACCGTACCTCTGCTGCTGAAGGGCAAGGAGCGCAGACCTTTCCTCCAGCTCACGGCCGGGGTAAATACTCACAAGGCCACTTAGCGGCACTAGCTTAATGCTAATAAGCTGGCTCAAACAGCAGTGTGGCAGATGCCAGCGTGCTTCCAAGGGCTCAACCAAGTGCAGATGTCTGTCTTTTTGTTTGACATAACCACAGTATATGTCATGACTCCTTCCCCTGTCGCCTCATTCCCTGCTTGCTTGATTTTTCCTCAGTAGAAAGTCCCTTCCTTAGCTCTGTTTATCCTCTGCCAGCTCCCTTTTGTGGTCTCTCTCCTTGCGAGCTCCCTCTCCTTTGTTTGCTGAATTCACCCTGTAGGCCATACACGCTGTGGAATTATTCCTGAAACATGTCAGCCTTTCAACAGTTTTACAAGTCAGCAGTGCACAAAACTGATGCTGCGAGAGCAAGCCGACAGCGTGAAGCAGCCTCATTACACCTTATAGATGGAGTCGTTTTTTACCTGCACTGTAAGATGTACGCTGGATTACAACATGCACACATACAGTCAAACCAGCTCTCCAAGTCTGTGTTCTCAGGCAAGGAAAACCAGTCTGTCCTACCCACTACAGCTGGAAAAGAAAATGTTTGAAATTTGGCATCCCCCACCACAACTTAAGGAAACTTTTCCAGAGAAGGGAAATGCGTAGGTGTTGAGAACTCCCCAAGCAATCAAACTTTTTTTTGTCCTGGTGCGTGGAAGCCAGCATCTGAGGAAGTCTTTTTTTCCCCAGTCTTATGCTCCTCTCTCATAGTCAGTCAGTAGGAGAGGGGCAGTGAAGTTAATTACATAAATTGTTTATCACCCACATGTCACACTGACTCGAGAAAAAAAGCTACTTTTAGCTTTATGGAGTTAATTATGCGCCCCGTTTTCATCTACATCAGATATGTTTAACCGCCAGCCACTGCTGACGTAAATCACTTCTGTTGCGGGGATGCAGTGGTTTTACAGTAGGCTATCTACAAGCTGACCCTTCCCCAAATTAAACTGCCTTCCAGGGCAACTGGTGATTGTCTTACCACAGATTTCACGAAGACTTAAACCTCCCCGGATAACAGATTGATACAGCCTCTCCTTGTGCCAATAGAAGGTTATGAAGCAGTCGTAAAGTATTGCAGAGTCATTACTTACAGTGACATCGCCTCTACACACACACATACTTGCAGCCACACAAACACAGTCAAACTGAGTCTCAGGCAGAGCTGCAGACCGACTGGCAAAACACTGGCCTGAAGGCATCGGTCAGCAGACTTAAGAAATGCCACTGTGAATGAGGACAGAGTACGTCTGAAATATCATCTCATGATACATAAATCTGTCCCTGTTCCTCACTGAGCACATGTCTGGCAATTTCTGTCTCTCTGCTGGCGAGGATAAATAAATATGCCATGTCTTGCTTTGTCCTTTTCTTGTTTTTTTCATGTTGGAAGAATGGTCTGAGGCCTCAGGCACGAATCCACGTTGCCTCTGTCCTGCTGCAAGGGCACTTCTTCGCTCTGATAACAACTATTTTCCGGAAAGCATCAAGTCATCTCAGAGCTGTTTGTTGGGAAATTGCCGGTTTGACATTTGATTTAGGATTAAATCTCAAAATGCTATTTGACATTGTGAGCAGCATCTCCCGCATCACCCTGGCTTCTTGCAGCCATAAATCAGTGGCACTGAATTACTCACATCACATACTCATTACAGTTGCTCCTGCAATGAAATACAGTTTTTCTGCCAAAGAATCCTATCGCACAGGAGGCAGCGAGGAACAAAATACTATCCAGCATTTAGGATCATCTTTGCAGATAATAGTCTCGTCTTTACCAACTACTTTTAACAGAAAAGTGCAATTTAAAGTTGTATTCCTTCGTGCTGCTTGATTTGACGTCATTTGGTTACCGTGGTAACGGCAAGTGCGGTGTAGTCACAGAGACGGAAGAATAGGAAGTACACTGGCCACTTTGCCGTGAACGTTTGACTCATACAGAAGTAAATGACACATGATAATTTTCTATGGTGAGAACACAGGTCAGCGGGGCCATTAAGTGCGCTCACTAGTTTGAGAACACAGTTTCAGCCTGTTCTCACACCTGTTTGCCTTGTTAAACAAAAAAATACAATGGTATATCAATCCAAGTGTTTCTCTTTCACAGAACTAAGACTAACATTAGCTAAATTACCTTGTTATATCATTGTAAAACACTCTCCATGCGAACTTGACACACTCACCAAAACTGTCTTGGGGCTCAATTATACCTACAAAAATAAATATCCATCCATCCATTTTCAACTGCTTATCTGATGCCAGGTCGTGGGGGCAGCAGGCTGAGCAAAGTATTCTAGACATCCCTCTCCCCAGCAATGCTTGCCAACTCCTCCTGGAGGACCCTGTGGTGTTCCTAGGCCAGATGAGATATGTAATTCCTCCAGCGTGTTCTGGGTCTGCCTCGGGGCCACCTACCAGTTGGAACTGCCCAATGAAAGTAAATATGTCTGTTTCAATCTTTGTGAACGTCACTGCCCTCATACTTATGAGTCCTTTATGGTAGTATAGATAGATAGGTACAGCCAATAGATGGCACTTAAGAGCAGAGTCAAAACCTTCACACAACAGCAAATGAGGTGATATAGAAGAGGTTGTAATATTGTACCTTTTAGCGGTCTGTTAGGCCACTAAATACATTGCGACATGTAGAAGGAGAATTCGTTTCACTATATTGCCGATTCATTCCGTTCAACCATTTCTTGAATGTCTTCATTGTCTCCTACGGTCGTATCTCACGCTCATCTCACGCTCATCTCTACGCTACACTGCCCACGTGATCTTCGGTGGTACTGCTCCGTTTCATCCGTATCCGTAAGCTTTAAGAAAACGTCCACAAATACTGACATCATAAATGCAGAGTACAGACAGAGGGCTCCATCCATGTCAGTATGTAACGTTGAGCATAAATGAGCCTGTAGTTAGTCTTGTTAGTCATGTATTTAACAACAGAAAATGAAAATATATGAAAATATGCTGATCTGCACACTGTGTATCACCACGCTCTCTGCCTCTCAGCTGTCTGCTAAGCAGCGACTCTAACTCGTTTTTTGAAAGGCAGCTACAAGACATGTTTCAACAAACTTGCAATTCATGACAACAAAAGAATCAGGGAAATGACAGTTATGGTAATGTTTTAAAAGTAATGGATTGCTTATTTGAAAAAGTACAACTCCACTGCTCATTGGTCGTTATTGCAAAACCTTATTTCAGTGATTTCAGGACTTGGCACACGTCAGTTTGTTTATATGGAAGTTAGCCCGCTGTAGCAGTAGCAACTGTACATAAAATAGAGATGTTCCAATACCATTTTTTCCTTCCCTATACTGATAAGGATTACTGACCTTGCGAATCAGCAAATACTGAGTACCAATCTGAACAATTAAAAAAAAAACAAACAACAAAACTGTATACTGACCCTGTATGGATGTTCAGTGATTGCTGTCATTGTTGTATGGTAACATGGTTAAAATCTTTGTTAAACCTAACCTAAACCTAAAAAATTTACACTTTCCAGTGTAAATATTGTGTTCTAAAACAGTAGATACCAGCTGCACAGCACACAGGATCTCTACAGGCCCTTTAAAAGTCTTATAATATCTTAAATTTAATGTTAGGCCTTAAAAGTCATTTAATAGTCTTAAATTTGAATTTTGCTAGGTCTTAACTCCTACAAACATTTTGTCTAATTTCATTTATCCATTTTTGAATTTCTTTTTGTGAAAATGAGTGAAGCCTTTCTATAGCCCTTTTTAAACAGGAATTGTGCAAATTTGCAGGAAAGCCCAATCAGTCTTTTTTCAGCATTGGCAGTATAAAAACAGAATCGGGGAGTGCGGCAAAATGCCGCCTACCTACTTTTGTTTATACAGAATGCGCCTTTTTCGGGGCAATGGGGGGCGTGAGCAAGTAACAAAACGTGTAGCTCAGCGTGTGACATAAACAGTGACGTGGGAGGGAAGCCGCGGCTAGTCAGGCGGCGGCTAGTCAGGCGGCGCTAGTCAGGCGGCGATTCTCCCATAAATCGGCCCGTTCTTCACCGTTCCCATCATCTGACGGTTAATGGCCTCTTCGTTTGCGAGGACAAGGAGGGCGTGCAATTCCTTGTCTCCCCAGTTGCTCATCTTTACAGTGTCTGTCAGGTTTGTGTTTCCCTCTTGCTACTAGCTGCTCGCTAATTCCTGCTATCTGCTGTTTCCTGTTTATCGACCATCAGTGGGTCGAACATGCGGCATCATCAACAGCTCCTCCCACAAGTCTTCAACAGCCCCTCCCATTGCGGAAGGCTGCCTCGGTCTGTTTAAACTAAAAGGGCTCCACCAATATGACTACCCTGCGGGGCGGAAAATTTGGCACCTCGGATCAACTCGCCAATCCGGCTCTGTGTGTCTAAACACTCGCAGCTGACTGGCAAAACGGCCCAACATTCGTGGAAAATCTGGCAGTGTAAAAGGGGCTTATGTTACAAATCTTTAAAAAAACTATAATGCTGTCATTTTACTTCAAAGTTTCGCTTAGCTGTTGGCAAAATGTAGATTGACTTAACTCACTCTAATAACCATACTCCCACATAACATTTACCTCTGCACAAGACCACATACTTCTTGCCTGCGATGCTTACTTGCGGTTTTTAAATAAGTAAAACATGATTTGTCCAAACATCTGTCCTATATTTGGTTAAAAGGTGTCTTAAACAGGTCTTAAAAAGCATTGACTTTAACCGTCTGATACCTGTAGACACCCTGGCACAACATGCTTTGTAGGCTACTGTTTCAGACAGAGTGGCAAAGAAGAATTGACTTATTGGAAAACTGTCATTTTATTTGGCTGTGAAACTTCTTTAAAAGTTTATTAATAAATTACGTGGCATTGGATCTGTGCACAGGCTTGTGTAGTCGCCGATACCTGACCCATAATTATAGGCAGTATCGGAGGTATGACTGATGAATGAGAATGTTTGTTCTACTGTCAGTCTGTTTCTATGGGTGTAGTGCTACATTCATGGAGCAGCTTTCTTGTCAGAAATATAACAGAAGAGCGGCTGTTGTGTCTGTTCACAGTGCAGCCAAACAATAAATGCTGCTGACCATATATAACATAGAAAATGGGATTTGGTTTCATGACTGTGTTCAGGATTATAACTACAAAGAGACCGTATGGATAGAAAAGTTACGTTGGTTGGTTAAGCTGTGAAACTAGTCCACTACACTTCCTTTTGTGTGGTGCACAGAGTGGGTAAGCGTAGGATGTGAAGGCTTTCTTCCTGTTCCTCCAACACTATTGTGCCGTGCCACATCCTTCCTTGTATACAGCCTGTGTGTCAAACTGAAGGTGAAGCTTCACACACATGCTGATGCACAGGCAGGATGGGTGAGATCCGGGCACCACCTTAACACTCCCATCATCTTTTTGTCTTTCAGAGTTATCCTGCGTCACTCCAGCTGCTGGTACGTGCGGAAGGTGAACAGCTGATCCTGTTGCTGGAGAAGAATGAGTGAGTTGTCCTCTGATTTATTTTAAATTCTCCTTCCAAAGTCATTGTGAGCACCAGGACAGAGGAAACTAGATATTTATTATGTTAATCACACACAGAGCCAATAGATAAACCCCGGCTCGCAGCTATGGCTGGCTGGAGTTATAAATGCAAGAGGAGGAGAAGTTGTATGGTTCTGGGCTATGATATAGTATATTCAAGGAGGGAGAAAATAATATGTCCCCTAGTGATTGGAGTCTTTTATGGTTCAGTCTCTCTGAAGGGCCGAGAGATGAAAGCTGATAAAGAATAAGGAAGAGGAGAGCTCTGAGGACATGCTTGTTCTCTCCTGCTTTGCTTCTCCTCTCCTCTCATCATTCCACTCCCTTCCAGACTGCGGAAAATAACACAGTGAACTGTGAAACGAGGGGTGAGGATCATTTGGAGTTCATAAATATGCAGATACACACACACGCATTCTCAACTGTTTCATACAGAGAGGAAATACTGCTGTAAGGCCAGAATAAAAAGCACGTAAAGGCCAGGTTACATGTCGGGGGAAATTTATAATCTCACATCAATGATGACGACGACGCCTCCGGTCACGTTTCTGCTAATGTTTCTCATTCAGTCGGAGCAGACATAATATTCTACCCTGCTGCTTACAGGTATAGATATTGACACTGGAGTGATGGATTTGTTCCACAAGTGGTCAGACCTCCGTCACTGGTAACTCGAGAGAGTAAACACAAATCGGGCCACTGAGATTTTCTTGTTGCGTCCCCTTTCCAAACTGCAAAAGTGTAGTGGGAGTTGGGAAATGAAACACATCTATGGTTGTTGAGATTGAAAAGTGAAACTGCGGCTATTGATTCACATATTCAATCTCTCTTTTCCACCTCAATTCCAGCTGGAAGTCCATTCATTGCTGTGAGAACTTTTAGGATCTGCGATGTGTTTGCGTAACTCCTTATGTTTTATTTATTTATTTTATTTTTTCGGACTTGAATTTCTCCAATACATAAAAAAATTAGAATTTTTGTGACAGATCGTTGAAGGTAATTCACCTCTATTTCTGCATTTTTTCTGAGTGAAAGGTATAACGGCGATGGCATGTTTAGCTAGCTAACATTGGTAGCGTGCTAGCTGTGTAACGAATCAAATGCATGCATAGTAGATCATACATCTTTCAACAAAGTGTTTTGCAAAACTGGTTCCACATCTGACAGGCCGACCTACTCACGTATTTGTTGCTATGGATTATTGGTCTTGTTTTGTCTCTTACTTGCTCTGTGTGATATTCTACAAGACGTGATGCTGAAAAACACTAAAAATTAACTTTTCTATCATTTCTACAGTGGCATTTTTATCCATCTGTATAGAGATGCACTTCCTTGTGCTGAACACTAGGGGTGTGGTCCGTAAACTTCACGCAAGTACCAACACAAAGGAAGACTGTGTTGAGATGAAGCGTTAGGGCCAGGTCACACTAAAGATTTGTGACAAGACAAAGAAAAGTTGCAGCGGTGTGAACTGGTCCATCAAGCTGGGTGATGGTGCCACCTGCAATTAAGCTTCTAAAGTCGCCAGTGGTTGGTTTTAGAACATAAGTTAAATCACCTGCTTCAACAGCCAGTCAACTTGCAGCAAAGTCAGCTGGTCAAGTCAGTTATAAACTGTCAGCAGACAGCGTGTTTGCAGTCCTCGAATGAGCCCATCTCATCTATATCCACGCTGCTGTTGACACGTGTGTCGGTTTATTCTCCTCAGATGTCCTCAGTGGTTACTCTTTCAGTCATTACTTGTACTTGAAAAGCTGTGAGTTTGACAGATGTACAGAGCATTGGCATGGTATTGGTGCCAATGGCAGGTTTTTAGGCACACAACGAGCAGTCACAGGTTTCAACTTATCTCGTTGTAAATCTTTGGTTGGTCCATACACTCACCAGCCACTCCTGTACACCTTGCTAGTACCAGGTTGGACCCCTTTTGCCTTCAGAACTGCTTTAATTCTTCGCGGCACAGATTCAATAAGGTGCTGGAAACATCCCTCAGAGATTTTGGTCCATATTGACATGACAGTATCACACAGATGCTGCAGATTTGTTGGCCGCACATCCATGATGAGAATCTCCCGTTCCACCACATCCCAAAGGTGCTCTATTGGATTGAGATCTGGTGACTGTGGAGGCCATTGGAGTACAGTGAACTCATTGTCATGTTCAAGAAACCAGTTTGAGATGATGTGAGCTTTGTGACATGGTGTGTTATCCTGCTGGAAGTAGCCATCAGAAGACGGGTACACTGTGGTCATAAAGGGATGGACAGTCTGGCCATTGTCCTCTGACCTCTGGCATCAACAATACATTTCTGCCCAGTGGACAAACAAATAATATATTAACCCCCCTCCCCCTGTCATATTTCCCCTCATGAATAGCTCAAGGTAACCTGCTAGCCCTCAAAAACACAATTCAAATTACTTCACAAACAAACTAAAAAAAGTTCTATAAATATGTTGTCCTTGGTCAGAAATTACAAACTCCCTAGAAAAACTCTGTCCTGCCTGACCCTTCCATTCCCTGTTCTCCGTGAGACCCCCAGTGACCTCAGCATCAGCTGTGAGTCATCCGTCACCAGCCTGAGGCCCGGGAGCACGCTGCCATTCCCATCCGGCCTGTTCTCTGTCAGGCCAGATGTGTCCTCTGATATTGCTTCACCAGTTCAGCCAACTCAGAACAGGTGGTCTCTGACCTCTGCGCAGGTCTGTTTTGTCGAGGCTGTGACCATTCAGTCTGGGGCAGAAGGGAAGATAAGGGCACATGAGGATGTCGCAATACCTCAAATTTTTATTGAATCACTCACTGTAATATTTTCCAAGCTGGCAACATTGAGTCCTGCTCAGATTTGTAATTTTCCAACATTAAATATATCCACATTAAACCAATCCAGTGTCGCTGAGATATGCTTGACAGCTCAATTGCTCAGCATTAATAAAAAATGGTCCCTTTTTAGGGTTTAAAAAGCAATTTTTCAACAGCAGGAACGAAATATGGCAGTTAAAAGGCAGTTTCATAATAATAACAGCACTTTAGAGGTGTGCAATGCAAAAAATTTCATTTATTTTTTTTTTTCACCCAAAGCTGCTCTCCTGGCTTCACTCACTGATGCATGCTCTCAGTGTGGATATCTCCATTGGATATTCTTCATAGCAGGGTCTTATTTTTTTTTTATTTTTTTTTTATGAAGCCACTCTACAGTTCATGTTTAATGCCTCAAGGCTGCATGGAATAAGTTTGCGTTTTAATAGAGCTCAACAGGGAGCCAAGGGGTCATGTTTTACTACTTTTATACCATAAAAAAAGTCTTGATTGGATAATGAACTTGAGCTCGAGTATGCTATGTTCCTACAGCAGCAACAAAATCTCATCATATATGAAGAAATATGTCGAATATTTTAATTAAATCTCCTAAACAGCACCAGATCTAATAACTAGTCAGTAGTTCTAGGTCAGATCATGACATTTTTGAATGGAAATTAAGTGGGAACATGAGGAAATTATGCCCAACACATCCCCAATTTCCTCTTTAATATAATAATCCAATATGGCATCTAATATTTGAGTAACTCAATAAAGTGTGGAAGTTATTCAACTTTAAAGCTACTTGAAGGGAACGGCGGTGAAAACATTTAAAAGTTTAGAGGTAAAAAAAGTACAAGCAGCCGTTAAAATGTGGAGGCGAGTGGATGTGAATGCGGGGAACTCAAGAGCTTAGTAAGTGGTGGCTCTTTGTGCTGAGTTATGGCAGGTTTTCTGTGAAGGCTCATCCTTTTTTTGCACGAATCTGCTGAGCCCGTGCAGTTTGCTCATTTGGCACCGCTGCCGAGCACACCTGCTCCAAGGCCAGTGTGAAATGATCTCAGTCCTCACCAATATAAACATGCTACCAGATCCAATTAATAAACTGCTGTTTGTTAGGCGCTTGGCCCCGGGCCAGGAAAAACTTGGCTACAGCAGGATGAGTACAGATCTACTGAGGAGAGAAATCAGCGGGGGGTCTGCTTTGTGTGTGTGTGTGTGTGAGGGGAGTGTTTCTATAGGTGGCATACAGCAAGACTGAATGTGTTTAAGAGAGCTGGAGTCTCTTTGTTTTTGTACACGCTTGAGAAGGATTTGATTTTCCTGGGTGGTACAGGCCAACTCTTTTGTGTCCTTGGCAGCCAGTTGGATGAAAGTGTCTGAATAAAAAGCATATCGTATAGGCAGTGAGATGCCTCTGTATCCACACACTCCTACATTTTGTCACTCTTACAAGGTCAACAAAAGTGTATCGCAGTTGCCAAAAGAAGAGCCCTGCAAACCTCAGTGAAACATGTTCCTGTTTGTTCGGAGTAAATGTTGTTTTGCACTCTTTGTTAGTTTGGATTTTTGTTTTGTCAGCTCTGCGCCCGAGCAGCACTTTGGGACGTGACTTAGATCGGCTTCTGTTCTTGATTTCAGTTGTTACAGCCTCATATGCCGTTACACATTAACGTCTTTGTCCCACATGCCACTTCAATTAAAATAAATAGCTTAACATGGTTAAAAGGGGGAAAATGTTTTCCTATTACTCTGTCATATCTTTTTTCTTGTAAGAGTAATGGGAAGGGCTGTGTCGTATACAATATTTAAGGCCTGGCGTGTTGCGCGGTGCAAACAGAGCTGGACAGACATGCAGACTTGTGCCAGCCACGGCTGCTTTGATGTATAGCATTGATCAATGGCACAGTTGGCCAGCTTCAAATGATTAATGGTGGCTCGTATGGGACATTCCACATTAGTCTTGATTAAAGACTTCAATAGCACTGTCTGGGAGACCAAGGTGCTCGTGTGTGCGTGTGTGTGTGTGTGAGAGAGAAGTATTAAAGATGTACAGCTTGGCCCATTTACTGAAGTTTAAATTTAATGTCTTAATTTCTCGTTTCTAAGGAGCTTTATTGTTTAACATTGTTCAATACTAGTGCTGACATTTTCATTTAAAGA